CATTCTTACCAGGGAAAAAGTCGGAAGAAAACCAGTCAGCGCCAAAGACAATGATCAACTACGCAATAAGTGATGGCGTCGCAGACTTGCAGAGCTGGTACGAGCGACTAGGCCACATCTGCCCTCGATTTGTGAAGCAAATGGCCGATCAAAACTTGGTCGAAGGGATGATGTTAAGAAAGAGGGACTTTGACATGTGTGAAGCCTGTCAACTTGGAAAACAACGCGCAAAAACACCATTGAAACAACTAGATCGTGGAGTGAAACGACGAAACCGGTTAGTGTTTGCCGATCTGCTTTTTTCGCCAAGTCATTACAACTGTACGCGTTTCAAGGCAGTATTGGTGATAATGGACGCTCACACGAGGTTTAACTGATTTATCCGGTGCAGACCAAGCAGAAGAAAGAAATTAATGCACTGATGAAGCGATATGTCGTTTGGGCTGAAAGGCAATCACCAGAATGGAAGGTGAATGAGATCATTACAGACGGCGGTGGTGAGTTCGAGAATGGACAGATCACAACATGGTACCAGGAACACGGCATAATACATACCGTCATACCACCGAAAACATCTCGGCTGAACATGGTGGAGCGTACCCATCAGACGATAAGTGGTATGATGAAGACAATGATGAAGGAATCGGGCTTCCCGACGTCATTTTGGATCGAAGCACTGTATTATGCAGTGTATCTTAAGAATAGATCACTCTCAAGTTCAATTAACTGCACGCCGTACGAAGGAATGTGGGGAAGACGCCCAGATATTCACCACATTAGGAAATTCGGAGCTCTAGTCTACGCACACACGAAGGTTGGGCCTTCACGTCACAAATTTGCCGACAACTGCAAGATTGGATTTGTGCTCGGCTATCGTGATGGAGTTCTTGGATGCAAAGTCTATTTTCCTGCAGAAGGTTCAGTATTAATTGCTGGAGAAATCACTGCCAACGAACGAGTTCTATACAAAGATCGACACCACACTGATTTTGATCGCCGCGTAAGAGACTGGGTGCTAGCTGAGCGACCAGATCTAACAAGTGCAGGCCGTCATGATTACGACTTACCAGTCGTAGGGGGGAGTGACGGAGATAGCAGCAATGATACCGTCGATACCGAGCAACATAGCTCAAGATCTGTTGGACCAAGCGTCAGAGAGCCGCCATGGCTACGGAAACCGCTGCCAAGCTTTGGAAACACCATGGCGGTGCATCCTGAAGTGGGTCGTCGAAAACGAGTTAGTGACAGTATAAAACACATCAGATTTGCTGTTGACGATGATAGTGAGCCAAATACTAGCACGTGTCAGGAAACAGTGGACTCGAGTTTGGAAGAAGAATCAGAGGATCTTGACCAAGAAGCTGAAGAGCAATTTGAATACGCAGAATTAATTGCAAGATCGCTGCTCGACGACGTGGATGAGAATACGCTTAGTGATGGAAGTAAAGATGGTGCTGAAAAGGAGAAGAAACAGCACTTAAAGAGGGGTATGAAAGAGTTTGCGGAGCCTGAAGAAGAAGATTTAACTGCTGACGAGATGCAAGTGTATGCTGCGCTAACCGCGATTGCACTTATTACAGAGACGCCTACGCAGCCACAGCAACGCACATGGCACATTTCGGAGTTAAAAGTCCCAAGAACAGTATCCCAGGCGATGAACTCACCCCAGAGAGCCGAATGGTGGAAAGAATTGAAGAAAGAAGTGTCAGCAATGGTTGAAAAAGACGTACTTGAGCTGGTTCCGGAGACAAACAACCCAATAGGGATGAAAACACTTGAGACGATGTGGCGATTTCAGCCCAAGACTGATGATTTTGGAAATATTTTGCGCTATCGCTCTCGCCTCTGTGCTCGTGGAGACAAAGAGGTACCAGGTATTGACTTCAGTGTATTGGATACATTCTCACCCGTGGCGCGAATGGCTTCATTCAGATTGATTGTTGCACTTTGACAAATCTACCAATTGGTTGCCCACCAAGGTGACATCAACACAGCCTACCTGAATGCACCGAAGAAACAACTCGCATTCATTCGACGAATCATAGGATTCCCACTCAAACCAGGATGGGTTTACAAGGTGAAGAATGCGTTGTATGGTTTGCATGAAAGTGGACGTGAATGGTACGACGGGCTGCACAGTTGGCTGAGTGAAAAAGGAATGGAGAGAAGTACGACTGAACCCTGCATGTATTTCCGATTTGAAGGGCAATCTATTGCTCTCCTTCTTATCTACGTGGATGGAACCCGAGCTGGAAGACAACGTTTTTCGCAGACATTGATGCAAAGTATGGCATCAAAGACTTGGGTCGGCCAGAGAATTATCTTGGAGTACAAGTTGAATGCCAAGATGATGGTGTTTTACTTCACCAGACAAAGTACGCGAAAGATATCTTGGTGATTCGGGTTTGCAGACGCTGTTGGTTGCCGATCACCAATGGACACTACGGTGAAGCTGGATGCTGCGAAAGAAGGTGATAAAGAACCCGGATTGCCGTATCGTGAAGTAATTGGAGCATTGATGTACTTGGCGACAAGCACTCGCCCGGATCTTGCTTTTCCTGTTGGTTATTTGAGCCGTCATGTACAGCATCCGAACGCAGCACATGCAGGAGCACTAAAGAGAATTTTACGGTACTTAGTTGCAACTTCGGACCATGGCGTGTTCTTTAAGAACCAAGACAATGAAGCTGCAGAGAAGTTGGAAATCGACGGATACGTTGATGATGATTGGGGCAATTGCCCGGACACGAGAAAAAGCGTAACTGGATATGTGATGATGATGGCGGGAGGACCGGCTACGTGGGCTGCGCGACGGCAAATAATTGTGGCGCTAAGCACTGCAGAAGCAGAATATGCTGCGGCTTGTGAGGCGTGTCAAGAAGGAGCTGCTATTAAGAACATCTTGTCGGAGATTGTCGGTAAGAGCACTCTGACATTTAAACTTGGAA